AAGGTAACGCCTTCCTCAAATTGATCTCCACTCCAAAGGTCCTGACTTCACAGTGACGATATGGTAGTAGATTGCTGCTGCCTTGGGGGGCGTTTTCCCCCTAATTTTCCCAGTTAGCCTATAGCTCTGGCATTTCTATCTCTTTCTCTCCCACTCTCCTTTTCACAGGCCCGTCACACTGCTGACTCCCATTCAGTTTGCAATCAGTTATTATTTCAAGACCATTTTCATAAGTACTGTAACATTTCCAAGCAAAGTACCTCCCACCCTCTAGCTGTGCACCCGAGTTTTATTTCCTGAGTGAAGAACTTCTCACTTCTGTTAAATTTCATTCTCTTATTTTTGGCCCATTTCTCAATCAAGACCATTTTGAATTTTATCTCAGTCATTTATGATGATGTGTATCCTACACCATGTTCTTCAGTTTGATGAGGAACCATTGAATACTCTGAATATGATTTTCAAACCAGTTTTAAACCCATTTAATTTTCATGCCACCATGCCCACACTGAATGACTTTTCTAACCAGCATGTCAAAGGGTATTTGCCAAATCTATTTCGGTATATACAAGATACTGTACTGTATATGCCTATAGTTGTCCCATAATCTATTGAGGAAGTTTACCAGATCAGATAATGAAGGAAGATTAGTCTGTCAATATTTGTTATTGCTGAACCCTTGCTGGCATCCAGTAATTGAGATACTGGATTCAAAGTGCTTACAAATCAACCTTGTTATAATCTGCTCCAGAGTTTTTTCAGGTATCAGTGACAGACTGACTGGCCTGTGGCTACAGCCTCTTTTTTTCTCCTTTTGGAAAACAGGAACAACTTTTGCTGTCCTCCCTTCTCTGGGATTACTCAGCGATGATACATAAGAAATGTTTTATCACTTCTCACTGATATCCATGGTTTGGCCAGACCATCTGCTAGTTGCTTAAGTAGTCTAGGATGGAATTCATCTGGTCCTGGAGATATAATATCTGCTACAATAAAGAAGCATTTCCTGTCCATGTTTCTAATGCTTCAAGCCTGTACTTTCGTTCTACCCTTCACAATTTTTTGGTGGAACATGAGGGTTGTTTTTTGTTTTGGTTTTTTTTGCCTTTTGCCTTTTGCCTTT